AGCCCTGGCTGTCGACCACGACTGCAACTACCACTATCACCACCACTTCCTAGCTGCGCTCAGAGCATCGATGCCCTAGCCTAGCGACTGCGCAATTGATTTGATTTTCCTTTACGGGGATGCCCGCACGGGCTCTGCAGTTCCGCAGTAGACCACGACTACAACCACAACCACCGCCACCTCAATAGGTTTCTCTCCTTTCTAGCCGCGCTTAAGGTTTTAACACCCTAGCCTAGCAATTGCGCAGTTGATTTAGAGTTTTCCTTTCCAGGGACGCGCGCACAAGGTCTGCATTTCGCGTAGCAGCTACCAGCCACAGGTGTCGACCACGACGATACAACTACCACCACCACCACCACCACCAACCCAATAGGCTTCCCCACTTCCTGGCACTCCTTAGGGCATCAACACTTCAGCCTAGCGACTGTGCAGTTGATTGTAAGTTTTCCTTTGCAGGGATGCGCGCATGGCTCTGCTGTTGGCGCAGCAGCTACCAGCCCTGACTGTCGACCACAACTACAACTATCACCACCGCCACCACTAACGCAATAGGTTTCTCCACTTCCTAGCTATGCTTAGGGCATTGATGCACTAGCCTAGCAACTGCGCAATTGATTCTGATTTTCCTTTACGGGGATACGCGCACAGTCTCTGCAGTTCCGCCGTAGGCCTCGACTACAATCACGACTACAACAACCACTATTAGTTATTGTTGTAGAGCGTAGATCTGTGGAACGGGAGATGCTCAAGCACAGCGACGACTTATGCGTGCAGGCCATGGGGTTGTTTTTAACAGGCCGCGGGTGCCGACGAGCGCTGATGAGCATGTACATGGACGGCAAGGCTGTGGCGTGCAACGACATTGAGTCTGCTGGATGTGACTGGTGTGGAGAGGGAGTCCGCGAGTTTGAGCGTTCACAGCGGGAGACAAGCACTGAGTGGCAACAGGTTCAAGAGATGATGGACGAGGTGCGGGCAGGATGCGCTATATGCTGGGTGCTAGACAACTTGGGGCGGGACAAGTGGCGGACGCACAAGACAATGAAGTGTACAGCACAGGCAGGCGTGCATGGGGTTGACATAGACCATTTTCGAAAGGGTATACGCAACGACGGCATTAAGAACAGTTGTCAACGCTGCTCTGTTAGTCAGAGGTATTGCGCTACAGGCAGGGACGTTACAGCAAAGTGTCAATGGCCGAATGTAGTAGTGCCGCTGGTACGAGCAGCTGCTGTTGGGGATGGCTGGGCAGTTGGGATTATCCGACAGTGCGGATACTGCGGAAAGCTAGGCGGAGACTGGAGAGAGTATGCGGCGTGGTTAGGGAAGCGGCATAGGTATCAGGTATGGGGCGAGTATTTTAGTAATATGTTTGTAGTAGTAATTAAACTTATTAGGTATAAACTAAAGTAGAATAGCTACTAATGTAGTAATTATTTTCTTATATATACTTGCTATTTTTCTACTAATACAACTTTCTTTAAATCTATGCTAGTAATTATAGTAAATAATAATAAATTATAATACTATTAGCTAAAGTTTCTAAAACTTTAATTAAATATAGTAAAGAGGAGAAAATGAGAGTAAATAAGAGTAAAAGAAAGTAATCTAAGCTTCTACAGAAGTTGCGTAGAGCGCTAGCTTTGTAACAGGGCGGATAACTCTCTTAGAATAAGGTGCTTGCTAAAACTTAGAGTTTATGTTAAGCTTAAGAAGAAGGAGGACAACTAGAGGGCGGGGTTAGAGGGGAGGGAGGGTATTCAGTATAAGTACCTGACTACAGGGTACCTAAAGCGAAGGAGGGGGTACAGGGTAGTAGGTTAGTAGGCAATAGATTTAAACAAGTTAACAATTTAGGTTATAGCAGAGCAAGAGTTAGAAAGACTCTAATAAATCTTAAAGATTAACTATAATTTATAAAAGGTTATAAATTAGGCTAACTATATACTTCTAGGTAATCTATAGATTTGCTAAGTCTTAATCTATAAAGTAAATTCTAGAATATACAAGTAAATTATAATAGGCTATAGTAAATTAAAGCTAAATAAAGTAAACAATAGTAAATTACTATAAAGAATAGTAAATATTAAAGAATTTAAATATATTACAATAGTTTAACTATAGTAACTTTTACTTAGCTAGAGTAAATTAAGAAGATAGTAGTAGATTATAGTA